GGTGCATTTCCAGAACCTGGAAGAGTTCGAACGAGGCCTGGGGATTTTTGCCGGACTCCCGGAGGACGACGGGGACTGGCTCTGGGAAGCAGCCCCCAGGGCGCCGGGGGAGACGAGCGAGGCCAGCCCGGGGCTCCCAGCAGAGGATACGAGCTGGATCCAGAAGGAAATAGCCATGTACAAAGAGAGGAACACGGCTCTCCAGGAGGCACTGGGGAGCAAGGAGGAGGAGCTAAGCAGGTCCCAAGTCACCCTGCAAGCATTCCACGAGGAACGGGATAAGCTCCAGAGAAAGGTACCTGGGGCAGTGGCAATGCCGAAAAGCCCCGGCCAGGACCTCATTTGGGAAGGTCTCAACCCATATGGGTGAGCCTTTTACCTGCAGTATTTTATTCAGCCACTAGATGTCACTGTGTAGCATGCTACGTGGGCTGCTCCCTGGTAAACAAAGGAGACAAAGCCAGAACTCAAGCAGCGTGGGAGTTTGTGTGTTTGTGGCCATTTTATTCAACAAACGAGCACTGTGTGGACTCGGCTTGTTCATTTCCCGGGGGATCACACTTCCCCTGCAGGGAGGGTGCCGTCAGAAACAGTCTGCTTCCTGTGCTGCTGGGGAAATCCAGACTCATATTTGTTCATTTTTTTTAATTGTATCCTTTGGTATATATGGTTGTGACTACTTTCTTCCACTATTTGATCTGAGGAAGTGGGTCTGGCCCACGAAAGCTCATCATCTAATAAACCATCTTGTTAGTCTTTAAAGTGCTACATTGTCCTGCATTTTGCCCCTCCATGGAGCCACTCTGGATTTGCTGCTGTCAGGATCAGCCCTAGCTCTGGCTGTCTGAGCCCAGGCAGCCGGCAGGTTCATGACAGATGCTGCTCTCTCCTCAGGTCAAGGAGCTGCAGGACTCTCTGCTCAGGATTGAGACGCCATCCCAGCCTGGCAGCTCCCCCCCCTCGGCCGCCCCAGGGGGTCCATCAGCCCTGGCGGGGAAGGAGAGCCCTGGCCATTCCAGGTGAGTGCAGCGCCAGGGGCTGACCCGGGTCTGTGCTGCTTCTCCATTGCGTCCGGCTGGATCCTGCTTGCTGGGGAGGCGAGGACGCCAGCTGGGCCGCAGCTCCCTGGACCGCTGGATGCTGTGGCTGCCGAGCCAGGAACGAGCCATAGGGGGGGTCCATCAGCCCTGGCGGGGAAGGAGAGCCCTGGCCATTCCAGGTGAGTGCAGCGCCAGGGGCTGACCCGGGTCTGTGCTGCTTCTCCATTGCGTCCGGCTGGATCCTGCTTGCTGGGGAGGCGAGGACGCCAGCTGGGCCGCAGCTCCCTGGACCGCTGGATGCTGTGGCTGCCGAGCCAGGAACGAGCCATAGGCAGGGCCGGGCAGCTGGCAGCTAGTGGTGGGCCTGCTTCAAAGCCTACTGACTTCAGGGAATTTGGATCAGGCCAGGAGCGGAGGATGCGCCCACTCAGGGGGCGTAATACACGGGCTGCGGGGGTGTGACTGTGTCTCCCTCTAGTGGCTGGCCAGAGCAACTGCAGCACCCTGCTGCTCACAGCTAAGGGATTTTCTCCTTCTGCCTGGTTTGTTCTCCGCTGGTCCCCTGTGGCCGTGGATTGTGATAGCAGCTTCTAGCAGGGCGGCTCGTCTCTGCTGTGCTGTTTAACAGCATTAATGCTCCACCCTGGGTGTGCTACCACCCATGCACCCTGACCCCCGGCCAGCTTGGGAGCCGCGCCTGTCGGCCTCGTTCCAGTGTTTGTCTCCCCTGCCGGGGCCCTTTGCAGGATGCAGTTGCCGCGGCCGAGAGCTTCATCCGGTGCTTCCAGAGCTGCTCTGGCACACGCCACCTCTGTCGCCTCTTCCCCCAGCATCGCCCCGGGGCATCGGAGAGCCCCGTCCAGGAATGGGAAGCCCGGACGGAGCAGCTGCGCGGGTGAGGGCTGAGGGCCTTCGCCCAAGGGGCGAGAAGGGCTTTACACACTGTCCAGGGCAGCTTTCTCAAATATGATCCTGCCCCGGGCACAGTCAGGGGAAACTGAGGCACAGCAAGGGGCAGTGACTCACCCAGGAAACGGAATAGGACCCAGGAGTCCTGCCTCCCCTCCCCTGTGCACTACACGCCAGACCCCCTTCTCCTCCTGTATCCCAGGCGTCCTGCACTATGCACTAGGCAACACTGCCTCACTCTCCTGGCCAAAGCTGGAATGGGCAGCCCCGCAGCCGTGGCCCCAGCTGCGGGCACATCCTCCTCTTGGGGGGAAGGGGGAGCCTGGGACTGGAGTCCTGGGCTGGGGAGGGGGGAGGCCAGGGAGCAGCATGTCCAGTGGCGCCCCCTGTGGCAGGGCCCAGAGCTGCAGTGGCACTAGGAGCATGGTCCCCTGGGGAGCAGGGTGCCTGGGCATCCCTCGGGGGTGCAGAAGAGCCTGGCGGGGTATAAACCAGCTCTTCCCTGGGAGCAGCCCCCCCCCTCCGATGCTGCTCACAGCGCAGCCCCTCCCCCCAGGGGCATCGAGAGGCTCAGAGGCCTGAACCAGCTGCTGGCGGGGACGCTGCGGGACTGCAAGGGCCAC